GGAACCGGTTTAAAGCCAATTGACAAAACCACCTTGACGTGATTCCATGGTCGGGAATTGGCGATGGGTGGTATCTAACGCAAAAGCGTTATCGGGTTTGCGATTTCTAAAGTTCTTTTTTTTTGGTGGGGGGGAGGGGGATTTTGGTTGGGATCCATTTTTGATGGTTGTGAAAAGGTTATGTGTATTTTGTGTATAGAGAAAGAAAAAATGGTGTAAGAAATGAGGGTTAAAAGTTTGGTATTTATAGGTATAAAATGTTGTTTTAAAAAAATTAGTCGTTCAATGGCTACATCCGTTCCAAATCGAGAGAGAGGGCCTGATTGGCCGTTTGGTTTCGTCATCCGGAACACGAGCCACCACGAGCACGCCCGACAACCAATGGCTGCGGTGCCACCATCTCGGTGGTGGTGATTTCCGGACAAAAGAAGGAGAAAAAGAAAGAGATTAAATTTCTTACCTTGAACAAGAAGTACCACTAGAAATCGTAGCCACCACCCCCTAGCAACCCTCACACCCGATCGAAACCTTATTCTTTTCCCGCTTCTTTTTCCTCATAAATCGACAAGCATTCATAGCTCTTACATCAGTGATACCAAAAAAAAAATCAAAATAAGTTTTACCAAAAAAAATCTAAAAATCGATCCATTCACAGAATTTGACAACTGATTTATGCCATAAACCTATATTCAGATTATTGAAACATAAATCGATTAATAATAATGAAGAATTTGAGTTGAATCGATTATAACTAAAGCATGATTCTCTGTGATGAATAATATGCAATGATAAGGAACTTGAGCAAAGAACATACCAACTAAATGGATTCATCAACGACTATATAAATCGATTTAAATAGGGAGCAAGAGAGGAGCAGATAAATGAGCGTATGAGAGAGAGGGAGAGAAAGGTCGGTCCCTCTTATTAAATAAGTATTTAGATTTTAAAAAAATGAAATAAAAACACAAAATAAATACCCAAAGGGTATTAAAGTCATTTAAGTTTACCAAGAGACCATTTTTATGTACAAACTAGACAAAAATGACCATGAAACCAAAAAAGTTGAGGTTTGGACTAAACCTCAGAAAAAATACATACCACAGGGACCATTTTTGCAATTTTTTCTTTTTTTATTAGTTATAGTTATAAAGTTGATGTTTAGATTTTCCGCAAAAAACAAAACTGCAAGATTGGTCCCTATGGTATTCAAAAAACTTTGGATTGGGTCCAAAAAGGTTTCCGCTTGCATAGAAGGTCCAAAATCAAGGTTTTTCTTGTTTTTGGTCCAAAAAAACTTAAAAAGACTGTTATACCCTTTTACTTTCTTTTTTTAATATTTTTTAATACTTATTTTTATATTTTATTAGTTAAAAACCAAAAGAGGACCCACCCCCTCTCTCTCTCTCTCTCTCTCTCTCTCTCTCTCTCTCTCTCCAGATTCATGCTTGTCTTCTTCACCTCTACATTTTTAATACACAAAGTACAACTTTTGTATAAATCCAATCAACAAATCTTCTATGCTTCTAAACCTAGAAAATCAAGAACCGGGCGTAGCTCTCAATCGATTAACAACGTCGGGTCTTCTGCTTCTTTCCGTCAAAGTGTACACAGAGAGAAAAAACAGGTCTGTTCCTCACCTTATTTTTTTTTTTTTGCAATCGATGCAAAATTTGGTCAACTCCGATGAATCAAAAGGAGGGAAACAGGTGAAGCTATACAAAAAAAAAGAGCTTTGTTCTTGCTGCACTGCATATTGATCAAGGAGATGGGGTGGAGGAAACCTGTACGAGGGAGGGGTCTCCCATAAATCTAATCTGGGTTTGCACGAAAAACACTGGTGATGGCGATTGAAGAGCCATCGATTCGATCGGTTTGCATCGAATTCACTGGAGCACCTCGTCTCTGAAACGATTTCAGAAAAACATTCAAGCCCTCGTCTATGAAAATCGATCTGTGTGTCTGTGTTCATCTCGGTAAACCTATTTTCTCATCTCCATCAAATTTGAAATTAATGTGTTTGTGTTTATCCTTGTAAACCCTTTGTGTGTGTGTATGCGTGTTAATTCATGTAAATCGAAACATGCAGTGTATGTGTTCATCCATGTAATGAGTTTTCAAACCTACAAAAAAAACCCAAATGAATCGGGTGTATTTGGTGGAAGAAATGAATGTCGATTGATTATTTTAGATGAAGTGATGTGTTCTTTAACCTCAGTAGCCTCATCACACGAAGAATTCAAGTAGTTTGGTGTTTTAAACATGTCGATGGGTTCAATTTCTCCAAAAAGGAATGAAGATTGTTGTATGAAAATGAAGAACCCGAACTCAGAGAGAGAGAGAGGAGAGAGAGAGAGAGAGAAGAGAGAGAAGAGAGAGAGAGAGAGAGAGAGAAGAGAGTTGGGAGATTATTTTATTTTCATTTTATTTTTAAATTAAAATAGTATTTGAAAAATTAAAAAATATAAAAAAGAAAGTAAAATGGTATAACCGTCATTTCAAGTTTTTTTGGACCAAAAACACAAAAAAACCCTGATTTTGGATCTTCTATGCAAATGAAAAACTTTTTGGACCCTATTCAAAGTTTTTTGAATACCACATGGAGTAATCTTACAGTTTTGTCTTCGCAAAATGATGTATAACAAATTTTTACTACTTATTCATATTGTTATTTTTCTTTTTCGACAATATTCAAGGCAATTATAGAATCATTTTTTCCAAAATTATAACTTTATTTTTAATTTAACCTTGATATATATATATATATATATATATATATATATATATATATATATAGATATATATATATATATATTATATATATATATTCTTTGTTATCCTTCATGCTAGAGGTCTTATATGTGACGCTTTATATGTGAGGCTGTCATTTTTCAAGGCATGACCGTCGAGGGTTGACACCTACCTCCTAACATCTAAAAACCTATTATTGTTGATGTACTATTATATTTTTGTGTCTATTAAATCATTATCTCTAAAATTTGACAAAACTGCAAATTTGGTCCTTGTGGTTTGTAAAAAAATTTGGATAGGGTCCAAAAAGTTTTCAACTTGCATGGAAGATCCAAAATCAAGAATTTCCTTTGGTTTTGGTCCTTGAACAATTTGAAATGACTATTTTACCCTTTTCATTTGTTTTTTTCTATTTTTTATTAACTTAAATATTTAAATATTTAGAAAATAATAAAAAATAAAATCCTACCCCACCCAACCCTATCACTCCACCAGTAACCCCCCTTCCCCCTTTTCTCTCTCTCTCTCTCTCTCTCTCTCTCTCTCTCGTTTATGACCTTCTAAGAATGAATGCAGAACATGAATCTGAAAGATTTATACAAAAAAATAGATGAATACACAGAAGAACATGAATTTGAAAGATTTATACAAATAAATTCTGTTCTTGAGCAAAGAACATGAAACCAAGAACCACAAACACACCCGATTTCAGAATTTACAAAAAAATACACCTTAAACAACCACAAACATGAAATCAAGAACCACAAAGAACATGAAAGATCTACCCCTTTTCGTCTCTCTACCTAAGTCAAACTTTATTTCCCTTCGTCCTCTCTTAATTCACACAAACACATTCGATTTCAGTTTTGATTCAAATTAGGTTTTCGATTTAGATTTTCCCTTTGCCACCACCGGAGAAGACTGCCTGTAAAGGTGGGTCACATCAAAGGTCCAATCAACCATGAGTCTGGGATGCGTGTGTCTCGTGCGTGTCCCAACAAGAAGAAGAAATTGATGCCCTTTTCTACAACTTATTCTTAACACCAGGTTTGCTCCTCCTTTTCTAATTGATCACAATTCTTCCCTCTTCTCGAATTTGATGTTGCTGATCTATCATTTCTGGAACTGAAGCTTTATCAAGAAGACAATGTGTGTATGTGTGTGTTGTGTTCTTGGGTCACAATAATCCTTTGTTCCTTTTCCACTAAGATTACCAAATCCCGTTTGATCTGTTACTGATTTGACAAGGGAATTAACAGAAAAATATAGAATTTAACCTTATTGCCACCATCGATGGTGAGGGGATGATCACAGTGACGAAGATACAACTGTTGGAAGAAAAACTTAACCACTGTCTTCTGCCTCCATTACAATCTTCTGGTAATCCAACGACAAGGAAGTCTCTCACGATGTCCCATTCCGCCGCTGACCTAAAAAAGAAAGAAACCAATGACAATATGCAAGCATTTCGAGGACTGGTGAGGGATAACACCTTGGGCACAAACCCTTCTATTAGTTCGTCGATTGTGAGAACGTGTGGGGAAGAAGATGGGGTTAGGAAAACGAGAGGGTGGTGGGTGTTATTTATTTCCATGTTTTTGGATATGAAGGAAAAGATGAAGTTCAACCACTAGAGATTGATTGATTGAGTGTCCAAATTCTGTGTGTTCTTGAGAGAGAGAGAGAGAGAGAGAGAGAGAGAGAGAGAGAGAGAGAGAGAGAGAGAGAGAGAGAGAGAGATTTTATTTTTTATTTTTAATTATTTAAATACCAAAATATATAAAGAAAATAGAAAAAAGAAATGAAAATGATAAAATTGACTTTTCAAGTATATCAGGGACCCAAAACCCAGAAAAATCTTGATTTTGGACCTTCCAGGCAAGTTGAAAACTTTTTAGACAATATCCAAAGTTTTTTGAATACCAAAGGACCATGTTGCAGTTTTGTCTTTAAAATTTAAACTCGAGTATCATGTTTTTTACATTATAAACATTTAAGTTACTTTTTATGTTTTTCTCAAAATCTATTGGAGTCATTAAAAGATAAACAGTAAAGTAGAGGAACAAGTTTCAGTTATTGGTTCTTTCAACTAACACTGCATCAAAAAAAGGAAAGGGAGCACGGCAGTTAAAGTAGGAAAAAGGTCACCGAATAACGGACCTTCTTCGCACGCCACCCTCTTTCCCACGTGCTCACTGTACTGCGATTCGATATGGTCGTCCACGTGTCTACTCTTTACCCAACTCCTTCCTCCAGGTGTTCCCCTTCCTCCTCTTTCCTTTTCTATCTCAACACCTTCAACAATTCAACACCAAATTCCCTACACGTTTCTCCCTTTTCAGCTTTCAATCACCCACCGGAATTAACATCTCTCATTGGAAAACCAAACCATGGAGACGGAAGTCCATACCAATTACTCCTACATGGGACGGAAATTCAGTAACATCAGCCTTTCAAACGACGATTCCGCCGCTTTCAGCGATTGTAACAGTGACCGATCAGGTGAGTTCCCGACCACGTCGGCGACCAGGCGTCTTCTCCTCGCTTGTGCTACTGAATCGTCGGATGATCTAATTCAACAGCTGGTCTCCGATCTAGATTCGGATTCGATTGAAGATCAGAAGCAAGCAGCGATGGAGCTCCGGTTGCTCGCGAAGAATAAACCGGAAAACCGAGTTAAGATAGCGAGAGCCGGAGCAATCAGGCCGTTGATTTCGTTAATCTCGTCTGCTGATCCTGAACTCCAAGAGCACGGTGTTACAGCGATTTTGAATTTGTCGCTGTGCGATGAGAACAAAGAGGTTCTAGCGGCGTCCGGAGCAATCAGGCCGTTAGTTAGAGCGTTGAAGGTTGGAACACCGACGGGGAAGGAAAACGCGGCGTGCGCTCTTCTACGGTTATCTCAATTAGAAGAAAACAAAGCGGCAATCGGTCGATCAGGAGCGATTCCTTTGCTAGTTGACCTACTGGAAACCGGAAACTTCCGAGGGCAGAAGGACGCATCAACGGCGTTGTATTCGTTGTGTTCGTTGAAAGAAAACAAAGTTCGAGCTGTTCAGGCCGGGATCATGAAGCCGTTGGTTGAATTAATGGCGGATTTCGAGTCAAACATGGTCGATAAAGCCGCATTTGTGATGAGCGTTTTGACACCATTGAAGGAGGCTAGGGCGGCGTTGGTGGAGGAAGGAGGTATTCCGGTGCTGGTGGAGATCATAGAGATCGGATCTCAGCGGCAGAAGGAGATAGCGGTGGTGATTCTGTTGCAGATTTGTGATGATAGTGTGGTCTACCGTACTATGGTGGCCCGCGAAGGAGCCATTCCTCCCCTCGTCGCCTTGTCACAATCTGGTACAAAGCGCGCTAAACAAAAGGTAAAAATTACCACTATAATTTACTTCAAAAATAATTTATGATTTATCTTTTTTTGTCACTTTTCCGAAAATTAATTACATGTCACTTTTGAAAACGAGAGGCTTCCATATCCGTTGACTTCTGAAGTGTTCTTAAGTATTGACTACAGTTTTTAATACTCATCCATGGAATCACTTGTGACCAATTCTAGATGTTTACAGTCAATGCGTCATCTAAAATTGAACGTTTCAAATTAAAGTTTTTTATTGGAGAATGACCTCATGAAGAATTTGTATTCTAAGATTAGAAAAAGTAAAACCTAACGCATATTAAGTCGAATCAGAAGTATGTCTTTTAATAATGTTTACTTTAATTATATTATTAATGGAAGATACGAAATATCTTTATCTCTGTGACATATGAAACCTAATTCGAATCTGAGAAAGTGATGTAGGTTGTTATGTGAGTTTATTGGATGTTTATTAGAATAATGGAATAATTAAATGGAAAAGATTATTTTATTGTTTAATAATGGTGATTCTTAAGTTGAATTATTTTGGATGATTGACAGGCGGAAACACTTATTGAGCTTCTTCGGCGACCAAGATCCGGCAACGCTGCTGCCAGCTCGGATTAATCAGAATGAGATGTTCCACGTCAGCAAAAGGACAAAAACATTAAGACAAACATGTTTTCCAAAATTATATTTTAGAAAAAGAAGGAAAGGAAGGAAGAGTTTTTTTTTTTGGTCGGATTTGTAAATATTTAATGTTTGCCGCTACCCTTGTAAATTGGTGAACGAAATACCTGTATCTCTCTGGCTTTTTTTCTTAAATTTTGAATGGAATGCAACGTGTGTTCAACAAAAAGGGGAGAATGGAAAATGACTTAGAACGACAACTTTTTTATACAAAAAATATGATTAAATATATTTTTTGTATATCTGTTTAAAAATATTAGATGTTTGATCTTCATTTGGTATTTTTTTTTTTGCTAAAGTTAGAGAACAAAATAAATTTTGCTTTTTGTACAAAAATATACCAGCACATTAATGACTTTGTCTTAATTTGGTTAGGAGTGATAAAGTCTATTTTGTTGAAATATATATATATATATATATATATATAATATATATATATATATATATATATAACATTCTGTTTCAAGAACTTTCTTATTTCGGGATTGTGGACCGTAATTCGATCATGTGAAGACTTTGGGCTTCAAGGAAATAAGGTTTAGATCTTGTTGGATGTTGATAATATTGATTATATGATCTAAGCCATTGATTTGTGTTTTGGAGCCAAGGGTAAAATGGAAAAAATGATGCTTCAGACTTCTTGCATAAATTAATGATTTTAATTTGGTATGTTTTAAGTCAAAAGTAATTATATAGAGTTGTGGGGATCGTTAATACCTTTCTGTGTATATAAAGGTCGCCGAAAACGGAGTTGAAACGAAAAAGTTATGACTCTTTGAAGCTGAAATGAATTTGGGTGAAAAATCGTCGTCATGGAGCAGAGAGCAGATCTCCACTGAGTTGCAGTCACCAAGGAGTGGTGAGCAAGTTGCCACGGCGTGGTAGTTGCCAGTGAGTGGAGAAATGTTGCTACGGAGTGACAGTCTGTCAGACCCAAACCCATGATTTTTAGGGGTTTCAACGTATTTAAGCATAAGATTCCGACTTTTTGGCCATTTTATGAGTCTCCATCATATCCAGAACCCCTTGTGAGAAACCCTAACCCCTATATCAAGATTTGAGCTCTCTATCTCTCCTCTTTTGGAGGCTTTTGCTTATGTTTTGATGTAACATGAAGATCACTGAAACATCCCAAAAATACAGTCTAAAAATTTCGTTTTAAATCATTAATAAAACCATAATTATCATTCAACATGTAAAAATCATAAATCGTGTATCTCAAGAATATCATAACATCTGTCAAATATATCAGAGTATAAACATCCCAGGCTGAACAAATGGTGTGTGCACTGCAATCATCCCGAGCTCCTCTTTTGAAAACCGAAGTACCTGAAACCAAAATTGAAAACCGTAAGCACGAAGCTTAGTGAGTCTCCCCAACTATCACATACCATACACATAATCATGCAACTAGGAGATACAGGCCCTGCCTACTCTCGTGGAGATTCGGGCCCCGCCCACACTCCGCTGTCTAGGAGAGTCGGGCCCCGCCCACACTCCGCTGTCTAAGAGATTCTGTCACACCCCCAAACCGGAACGGCGGAAACGTTCGGGGGCGGAGGACGTCATGTTTAGTATCACAACACATGCATCATAGTAATCAAAGTAACAAACAACCATTGCATTAATATTAAAGTGTTTACAAAGTATGTGATTCATAAAAGGTTAACTTCAAGTAAATAACAAAACAAGACATTAAGCTACTATGCTCCATCTTCTGAACCCATGAGCTCGTACCTGTCTACTAGTTCCCTGAAAATACAAGTTATTTTAAAAGCGTAGATCAACATTTAAGTTGGTGAGTTCATAAGTATTTTAGTGATGTAAAGTAAACTGTAAGTTCTTTTTAGAAAAGTTGGTCTGTTCCTCCAGAAAATCCTATATCTTCTGATATGATGAATGAAAGTAAAAATGACTCTACAATTCCTTCTATGAGTACTAAATGGATACAAGTTATATACAATCCAGATCAAACAGACAATCGATTGTGTGAATCTGCCCTAAGCCCACAACCAAACAAGGAACAGGAAATGAGGCGGAAGTCACACATCCCATTGTTTATTAGATCTTCATTAACCCTGGCGTATTCATTTGGTACTTACGGAGTTAACTGTAATAGTTCCTTTATATTTGATGAAAACATCCTTTAAGAAATCATATATTTCCTTTAGTAAAAATGGTAACCACAATAGTTCCTTCTATAATCACTTAGTTTATACTGGCTATATATAATCTAATATCAAACGGACAGTTAATTGTATGAATATGCCCTAAGCCCACAACCAAACAAAGAACAGGAAGTAAGGCAGAAAGCACACATCCAACTGCCTATCGGATATTAATTATATAGAACCCTGATGTATAAACTAAGGTATTATAGAATTAACCACTAAAGGTCCTTTAAGTTATACTGGTTTAATAAAATGAATTAAACCTTTTACTGATAAGTTTCTAGTTTAGTTTTCCCATTGTTCTATCTGAAAAGTATGTTTTTGTACTAGAAAGCGGTATATTGAATTTGTATGCTATGACCTGACCCATACCTGATACTCCTTATGATTACTTGGTGCATACGGGATATATATATATATATATATATATATATATATATATATATAATATATATTATATATATATATATATATATATAACTAAGATCGAATAGATAGTAGACTGGGTAATTCTTCTCTAAGTCCACAACCAAACAAGGAACATGAAATGAAGCAGAAAGTACACATCCTACTGTCTGTCGGATCCTATTAATATATATCCCTAATGTATCCACTAAGGAATCATAAAGTTAGCATTATAGGCCCCCTTCTAACTGAATGTTCATGTTACGAGTAAGTTATGTGGCGTTGTTCTATTGTTAGGACGACTACTAGAAGTAATGAAATCCTGCACTCTTAACGCCTCAGTCGATACTGTTGTGAGTTTTGTATATATTAACATGTTTTATTTATTATGGTCCGGTACTTTGTAAATGTACCCTTTTTAAATAAAATCCGGCACTTTGTAGATGTACCCCATATATAACTTCGGTACTTTGTAGATGTACCCCATGTATATAAATCCTGGCACTTTGTAGATGCACCATATATATATATATATATATATATATATATATATATATATATAACCTTATACCATGTTTATTATCATCTTTTGATTAGAACAATGAGTTAATGATATGTTTCCTTCCTAGGTTACTGGAAATGTAAAGTATAAGTTCGTGAATCATGATTTGTTCCTCTGTTCTTTTTATCGTATGTTCCTTCCTGTTCTTGTTATTGTATGTTATGATCCTTAAATTTTACCTGATATAGTTTACTAGTATGCTTGTTTGAACTGTTACTGACTTGAAGAAAAGACTCAATTATCTACCGAGTTAAACATGTACCTTAAAACGGAGTTTTATAAACAATAAACTAACATCTTTTTAAAAGAGTTGTTGAATAGATTTGATCTCTTACAAAAGCATAAGAAATCCTTTAATGTAATGGTTATCACAGGTAAATATTTACACAATATCATTGTGTTCAACTTGTATTCCCCCCCCCCCCCCTTAAAAGCATTTAAAAACATTTAAAAGATTGATTATAGGGGTATGAACTCACCTTATGTGGGTGATTCAATTGAAGATTCGCGTAAGGATGAGAAGTTCCACGAATGAATTCCCGAGACACAAACGAGTCCGACATGACATATAATGGCATATATAGGCATGTAATTAGTGTTTAAAACAACTAACATGCAAGGAAACAACCTTAGGGACTAGGAAACACTTGTAATGAAGTGTTACAATCACATGTGATTGTGTGAAAGGGAGTTTACGGCCAAAGGAAGAGTTTACGGCCACACAAGGATGTGTTTACGGCCAAACTATGATCTTATGAAGGGTTTACGGCAAAAGGAAGAGTTTACGGCCACACAAGGATGTGTTTACGGCCAAACTATGATGTTCTAAAGGGTTTACGGCCAAAGGAAGAGTTTACGGACGTAAACTCTTGAAGATCATGCACTTATTGTTTGTTTCATGGCTAGGAATCAAGTGTTTCTTATGGATAACTAGATGATAGAAGAGATACTCACACTTTGGAGGTCTTTAGGGTGTTTACGGCCCAAGAAACTAGTATGTGTTCTTGGTGTTCTTGATGAAAAGGATGATGATTTGAAGATCTAACCCAAAAGAGTTGAATTCATGGATGAAATCAAAGGGTTTAACAAGATCAAGAAAGATATCAAGAAACAATGGAAGAATCACTTACAATATTGAAGAGAAACGGAAGTGTTCTTGATGATACTTGAGAGAGAATGAGGTTTTCTCGACTTGAAGATGTGATAAATGAAGAAATAATGAAGGAAGTATATGATATAGGGAAGGGTTCACGGCTGCCAAGAGTTTACGGCGGTAAACTCTAGTTTGCGGCCGTAAACTCCTTGTGATGGAGTTTTCGGCTCGAATGCAACACGATGAACTTTAGTTAACACATTCTAACACACAATCCTTGAATGTACTAGGCTTAGAACTCATTAGAATGACCCTTAAAAAGGCTAAAAGGTAATAGAAACGAGTCTGACTTTTGGTTGATTGGATTGACTTACAAGGTAGAAATTTACGGGTTGTCACATCATCCCCCCGTTAGATGGAATTTCGTCCCGAAATTAGCTTTCTTAGCAGTACTCCTGGGGTTGTGCTCCTCTGAATGGTAGAATACCCACTCGTAGACATGGGTAACTTTGCCCTGACGCTCATGATAGGATTCATACCTGGTCCATCTATCATTACCTCGTGTATATGAGTCGTATATAATTAAGATTAGTGAGACGGTCGGATATGCAACTCTGCCCCAGGTCCACAACCAAACAAGGAACAGGAGATAGGGCGGAAACACACATACTAAATCTGCATAATCATAATTATATACCACCCTCGCGTATACACTTAATAGTGATAGGTGGGCTGTATTCGTCCTTAGCCTCTGTGCTTGAACTTGATCTGTTGGACGAGCAGTAGTTCGAGAAGGTCTGTTGAGTAAAAGTCGGAAAGGTTTCGGAGGAAATGGTACTCCTCGTATGAGTACTTCGGGGTGTAGAAGACAAGAGACAATACTAAAGTCTAGGTCGGGTTGTCGTTACGAATGAAGAGGGTTTCATTAACTTGTCGGTTAATGCGATGGAATTTCGAAACACATGAACTTAGTATGGTGAGGACCACGCCAATCCATGACGAATGATGACAACGGACTCTTTACAGAAACAATAGTTAGGACGATTTGAAAGAAACGTTTGTTATACGATGGTGTATTCTGAGTGTGCTCGACAATGTATTATGTGTAGACTTTCTAGTGCTTTCAGTTTTCTCCTGGATATTACCACTGCCACAAATCATATCGCAATGAGCGATTACTAATAGTGAAGATGCTTTGATAACTAGTGTCGATACTTTATATTATGATCCTCCTCGGTACCTCTATGATCGCCTGACATATACAAGTTATGTATAATTAAGATGAATAAGACGGTCGACTGAGTGACTCTGCCCCAAATCGACAACCAAACAAGGAACAAGAATTAAGGCGGAATCACTCACTCTAAGTCTGCAAAATCTTAGCTATGCACAACCCTGAATTACATTCTAATCCATCATAGTTCACCTGTACGGATATTTAGTTCTCTTACGAATGTTGTGACTTGTTCAGACGAGTGAGTTATTATAATTACTTTTAAATTTTCCCCAAGTTTTAATCTTATATTAAATATAAATAAAATTTCTAAAGTAATTGTTTTATTTCGAAGACGTACCGCTGCTCGTTGGTGATTCCGGGGTAGATTCTCCTGCGGTGATCATCAGAATTCGTCCATCTGCGCTTGAGTTCTTCGTTATTGGGAAGTCCCTCTTGTAGTGCCCAATCTCACCACAGCCATAGCAGGCCTGGTTCATTTCAACTCCGGGGACTTGGGAGATCGGTTGTGCCGATGCCCAGCAGAAACGGGCAGTGTGCCCCTTCCTGCGGCAGTTCATGCACTGCATTTCCCGACATACTCCAGTGTGGTGGTAGTTACACTTACCACACTTGGGGAGAGTTCCAGCATATCCACTGACAGACGCTGAAGTGGCAGGTGTTGTGGCGGCGTACATAGTAACCACTTGTTGCTCCTGCGGGGGTTCTTGTGTCGTTCGCTCCTTCCTCTTGTTCCCCGACTTTCATTTATAGTCCCCTCTCTTTGATGGCTCGGGAACAAGGACCACCATGCCATGGCGGACTCCATGGTCAATGAGTCTCTGGGCCAGACGTTTAGCGCTATCGAAGGTTGTTGGGTTAGAAGACAGTACATCCCCCTGGATCGGGGTAGATAACCCCCAGATGTACTTTTCTATCTTCTTGCTCTCCGGGGTAACCATCCCGGGGCATAGTGTTGCCAGGTCGCTAACCTGTCAGTGTAGGTCACTATGTCTGAGCCGACCATGGTGTGCTCCCATAGTTCTTGTTCCAGCTTTTGAACTTCGCCTCTTGGGCATTATTCTTCCAACATCATCTCTTTTAGGTTCTCCCAACCTATCGAGTTAGCCACTGATAGGGTCAGTGACTTAACATGGCTATTCCACCATGTTAGGGCTCTGTCGGAGAAAGTGCAGGCAACAAACTTCACCTTGCTCCCTTCTGGGCACAAACAGATTTCGAAGACCGAATCTGTTTTCTCGAACTATCGCATTAGAGCAATGACTCCCCCATTTCCATTAAATGATTTGGGTTTGCAGTTCATGAAGTCCTTATACGAACACTCCCGTGGGTGTCCGTGGGGTAACTCCGGGGTTAGTTAGGTGGGTACCGCTACCAGCTCCACTGGTACCACTTGCGTGGATGTGAGTAATAGCAGCTGTTGCGGCTGTTACCGCTGCTTGGAGGGAAGTAGTATCAATTGTGGTGGTGGATTCTCTGTTGTGGTATTGACTACGCGCTTACTGTCTACCGCGAGGCATCTTTTGCTAGAATAAATATAAAGACGAAAAGGAGATAAGTCTATAGCAGTGGTTATAAGCCGAAAGCTGAATGACTAAGTTATCCTAGTTCTGAGTGTAATCTGGTTCTGACTTTCATAGGTTCTGGAAAACAATTCATAATGGGAGTCTATATAAAATAAACTTTATGAATCAGAAGTGGCTATCCTCGAATGAATTCTTGTGAACTGAATAACTGTTACCAGTTACATGAAAAAGAAATAATCCTAACACATAATGTGAGCAGTGTATCCACTAGCTCACTAAGTCAATCAAGGTTATTATTTATTAGTGTGAAGCATAAGACGTTTTGTTTCTTCGGCTTATCCCTCCTTTGAAAAACTCTACTGAACTTCTTCTTGTTCCTCCTGGACTCTTCTGCTGACTGCTATGATGGAGTGGTTACATCTGTCTGGGTTTGGCGTGCGAGAATGGAAATGTCTAAAGAATCTATGAGATTAAGTTGAATATTATGGGGGTGATCCTTACAGGGTCCTCCTATAATTGCGCAGTGTACACAAGTTGTATATAATTTAAGATTAAATAGACC